TGTGAAGGCAGAATGAATTGGAACAACTTCACTGAACTCAAGTGGCTTTATAGTAGCCGCTGGAAGCGCCACGTACAAAAGCCAGCCGCTTAGGTGAAAAAATGAGGATGCGTCAAGTTTTGGCTGTGAGATGAGTAATTATTCGGCTGCCGTCAATCAGATGAGGCGGAAGTATCGATTGCCTTTGATAGTACGCGCGCATGAAGTGACGAGTGGGTCGTTAACGTGGGAAGGGCCGGTAACGCACGGAGTAGATGATTAGGCAGTCCTGGCAAAGCGAACGCAGAATGAGTGAGCACAACAAGGCCCACAGGACTGCCCGAGGAGGTCATAATGGCGAACTAGACAGATGCATTCAAATGCAAACTTGATTAAAATTTACTTAAGAGATACCGTTCACATGCACAGAAAAGCACTGTTAGCACGCACTAACGCTTTGCTTACACATACAGATAAAAATGTACATGTTACTAACAATTTCATAGTGTCATATTATGTCGGATACTTTATATACACTGCCTTCAAAAGGGTCTTCAGAGGCATTGCCTACTGCCCTGAATATACCGAACTATCTATTTTACTCGGAATACCATACATCCTGTCCCCATTACTAGCTGAGATTGAGGGAGCATGAGTCCAGCGCTGACTCTAATGAGCGTTATTTCTGACCACTTATTAGTGTTAGTAAAATTAACTGCACTACTATCACTCAGCTACACTACTAGCAAGCAGCAGTATAAAAGTAATAGCAATATCAGACTCGGTCTCCATGAGTCTTTCTGGAGATCTAGTGAAGGCGTATGATAGTAAGTAGTGCAGTAGTACCAGCACAAAACGGTACTGTCACTCAAAACTACGTTGGCCGGTATTTTGGTCTGCAGTGTAGAAAGCGACCTACACCTGATTCCTGCTCGGTCAGCTCGACTCTGTCTTGTCACCGGTTCAATCGAGGAGACTACAGTCACTATCGCTGCTCTTGGGCATATGGTAGACATAATTGAAATCGGTGGACGATGAATCCTATATGGGGTAGATGAGAGAAGTCCTTAAAATCCCAAATGAAACGGTACAGGAATAAATAACAAGCAGTGGATATGCAAAAAATCGTTAGATTTCACTTTCTAATCCATAAACGCATAAACATATTTAGGAACTATGAATGGTTGAAATGGTGAGTCGTTTGCGGAATAGCGAGGTAGATAACGTTCACTGCTTTTCACTGTGACATGTTCACCGTGACAACTTTAGTGTTAATAAAAGTTATGTTGAAATCAAAGAAGAAGCATGTGTGTAGTCATCTATTTCATCTGTTAGATGGGGGTCTAAATGTTTGAGGTTGCCTTTAAGGGATAAGTATCCAGATGTCTCTTGAACACGTTCACAGTGTGTAAGGCACAATAGAAGCTGGCAAAGATTTCCACTATAAAACGACTGTGTTATCTACTAAGGCAGTCCGGCCACTTTTAAAGAAGGAGGAACAAATGAACTCGAGGAGAGCTTCCAGTTTCATGAGAGGACTTTTGTGCGGCCCCTTGTCAAAGAATTTTCTAAGGTCAGATTTGATCACAGCAATGAAAATATCAAGATTAAAAATGCTAAGCGACCAGCTTCACATGATCCTCCCGATAATAAAGAAATTTTATTAGAACTCAAATGCTTACTAGTCAGACATGCATGCAGAATGCAAATGCAAATATCCATTCGAAGAAGTTTTCCTAAAGTTGGATTTTCAGAATTCCTTAGTGCAATGATAAGTTGTTCGCAGTTTAGTCAAGTCGAAATTTGAAGTATGTAGTCTGCGGTTCGG